TCTTGGAGCACTTTTAGGTTCACAGAAAATTGTAAGTGAAGTACTGAGATTTCCCATGTCACCTGCCTCTGCACATGCAGGAGCCTCCCTGTTATCAGCATCTCCCAGCAGAGAGGTGCATTTGTTATATCCACTGACTACACTGACACATCACTACTGCCTGAAGTCTACAAGATATATTGGGTTCATACTTGCATGTTGTATGTTCTGTGGGTTTTTTTCTTTTTCTTTTTTTTGTGGGGGTTTGAACCCAGGCCTGGGCACTGTCCCTGAGCTTCTTTTGCTCAAGGCTAGCGCTTTATCACTTGAGCCATAGTGCCACTTCCAGCTTTTTCTGTTTATGTGGTGCTGAGGAATTGAACCGATGGCCTCATGCATACAAGGCAAGCACTCTACCACTGAGCCACTTTCCCAGCCCCTGTTCTGTGGTTTTGACCAACCAACAATGACATATATGCATTGTTAGACTCATACAGAATACTGTAGTTTCAATGCTTTAAGAATTCTGTGCTCTGGGGCTGGGAAGGTGGCTCAGTGGTAGAGCGCTTGCCTTGCATGCTCGAGGCCCTGGGTTTGATTCCTTAGCACCACATAAGCAAAAAGAAAAAAGCCGGAAGTGGCGCTGTGGCTCAAGTGGTAGAGCACTAGCCTTGAGCTGAAGAGCTGAGGGACAGCGCCCAGGCCCAGAGTTCAGGCCCCACTACCGGACCCAAAAAAAAAAAAAAAAAAAAAAAAAAAAAGAAAAAAAAGAATTCTGTGCTCTGCCTGTTTATTTCACCCCTATAATCTTGGCACTTACTGATTTGTTCAAAATTTTTTATTGTAAAAATGGACAGAGGGGTTAGTTACATGTCAGTACATTTCTTTTTGAACAATGTCACCCCTTCCCTCATTTTCTCCCAGATTTTCCTTCTAAATTCCGTTCTCCCCCAAGTTGTATAGTTCATTTTCAACATAGTGTCCATGAATTAGTTCATACTTTGTCCCATCATTTCTGTGCTTCCCCTTCCCCTCCCTAAATCAGATAAACTTGCATACAGGACAAAAGGTACAGAAAAATAAAAAACAGTGACAAAGGGGGGAAAACAGAAAAAAATCCCACAGAAAAGTAAAAAAAACCTTGTTTCCATTTCTTAGAATCATTTTGATAAGCATCATTTTATATGATCTTAGCACATAGCTATTGAGCCCTTGTGCTCCTCTCCTAAGAATATCCTTCTTTCATCTCACTGTGTGAATATGGTAGACTCCTGTTTATCATGTTTTTACTATCCATTGGATTTACTTGTAGGTTTGCTCTTTTCAGAATGTGATACATAGGATGCAATCTCTTCAGGTTGATTTCTGTCACTAGTAATATTCACTTACAAATTCTTAATGTCTCTTCATGTCTTAGTAATCAATTTATTTTTAGAGCTGAGTAACATCCATTAATTTTATATGCCAGTTTCTCAGTTTACCCACTGAAGGGCATCTTGATTGCTTCCATGCTTTTGGAAATTATGAACAAATCTGTGATTTATAAAAAACTGTATACAGTTTTTTGTTTTTGTTTTATGGTCATGGGGCTTGAACCTGAGGTCTTTTGCTAGAGCTCTATCACTTTGATTTACAGCTCCGCTTCCTGTTTTCAGGTGGTTAGTTGGAGATAAGCCTTTTGGACTTTCCTGCCTGGGCAAGCTTTAAACATTGATGCTCAGATCTCAGCCTCCTGAGTAGCTAGTAGCATAGGCATGAGCCACCAGTGCCTGTGTACAGGTTCTTAGGTGTACATGTTTTCAATTTGATGATGATGTAATTGTACAAAGGGGTTATAATTCCAATGTTTCTTGGTCAATATCATCCATGTTTTCATCTCTTTTGGGTAAATAACAAGGAACCTGATTGCTGGGCCATCTTGAAAGAGTATGTTTAGTTTAAGAATATCCCAAAGTATTTTCCAAAGTTGCATATGATGTGGAACATCTTTTCTTTTAAAATTGTACATATTACTACATATTAATTGTCCATGCAAATGGTTTCACACTGACATTTCCATGTATGCTTATATCATCCTAGTGTGGTCCTACAATCTCCAGCAACCCTGATTTACCCCCCCTCCTACCTCACAATCCCCAGTCTCTGTGCCCTTCCCTAGAAGTCCCTTTGTCACTTGCAGCATATATTTTTTTTAAATTCTAAGAAGACATTTTCATATGCTTATTTTTCATCTGTATGTCTTCATTGCTGAGATATGTTAGGGTCATTGGCTCAAAGTTTTGGTAGTTTTGGAAGTCTGAGCCTACAGCGTGTGAGGCAGGTATACTACCATTTAAGCCATGTCCCAGCCCTTGTATTTTATTTTTCAAATAGTCTTTGGTTTTGTCTGAGGTGGTCTCAGACCATGATCCTTCTTTTTATGTCTCCAGTGTATCTGGGACCACATGCGCCACCATTCATGGGACTCATTGATTGAGAGAGGGTCCTAATAACTTTTTGCTTGAGTTGGCCTTGAACTTTGATCCTCCCAATCTATGCCTCCTAGTAACTGAGATTACAAGCATGAACCACTGCACTTGGCATTTGGCTCTTTTATTTTTCTTTTTGGCAGTTGTAGGGCTTGAACTCAGTGTCTGGGTGCTGTCTCTGAGCTCTGCTCTTTTTTTTGCTTAAGGCTAGTGCTCTACCATTTTGAACCACAGCACCACTTTTGGTTTTCTGATGGTTAATTGGAGATAAGAGTCTGATGGGACTTTTCTGCCTGGGCTGGCTTTGAACTTCAATCCTCATATCTCAGCCCTGAGTTGCTAGGATTACTGGCATGAGCCACTAGCACCCAGCTTAGATTTTTTTTTTTAATCTTGCAAACTAAAAGTCTGTACCCACTAAACAGCAACTCTTGATATTCCTCTTCCCTCAACCTCTGGCAGCCACAATTCTACTTTCTGTTTCTGTGAATCTGACTGCTCTAGATACCTCATCCCAATGGAATCATACAATACTTGTTTTATGTGACTGGCTTATTTCACTTAGCACAACATCTTCAAAGTCCATCTGTGTTACAACATATGTCAGAATTGCCTTCCTTTTTAAGGCTGAACATCCCAGTGTGTATATACATACACCACATTTTGTTTATCCATTCATCTGTTGATGGACATTTGGGTTGTTTCTACCTTTTGGCTATTGTGAATATTACTGCTATCAACATAGTTATATAGATACTGTTTGGGTTTTTGCTTTTAATTCTTCAAGTCATACACAAGAAGTGGAATTGCTGGATCAGATGGTGGTTCTATTTTTAATTTTTTGGAGAACCATCACACTGTTTCCCATGGTGGCTGCACCATTTTACATTCCTACTAACAACATAAAGCGTGCCAATTTAGCTCGCTAACATTTGTCTTTTTCTTTCCTCTTAAAAAAAGTAATAGCCATCCTTGTGTGTATGAAGTGGTGTGTCATTGTGGCTTTGTTCTTCATTTCCCTAAAGATTAGTGATGTTATCATTTCATGTGCTATGGACTATTTATGTATTTTTTGAGAAATGACTATTCAAGTGCTTTGCTCATTTTTAAATTATTTGTACTTTTTATACCTATTTCTCAATCTAAGTTGCAGAAGTTCTTTATGTTTTCTATATTTAGCCCTTATTAGACACATTTTGAAAATATTTGCTCTCATTTCTTTTTTTTTTTTTTTTGGGTCCGGTCGTGGGCCTGAACTCTGGGCCTGGGCGCTGTCCCTCAGCTCTTCAGCTCAAGGCTAGCGCTCTACCACTTGAGCTACAGCGCCACTTCCGGCTTTTTTCTTTTTGCTTATGTGGTGCTGAGGAATCGAACCCAGGACATCATGCATGCAAGGCAAGCACTCTACCACTGAACCACCTTCCCAGCTCCTCTCATTTCTTAATTGCCTTTTTGTCCTGATGATGATGATGCTCTCCTATGATGGACAGAAATTTTGAATTTTGATGAGTTATCTACTTTTATTTTTGTTGCCAGCAGTATGTTATAGCCAAGAATTCCCAATGGAATGTAATTAGAGTTCATCAAGGAGTTTCATAATTGTAGATCTTATGTGTGGGTACTTGATTCATTTAATTTTGTGTGTATGTCATGATACTGAGGTTTGAACATATGACTTTGTGCTTTCTAGGTACTCTACCACATGAGCCATACTCTCACCCTTTATTGCTTTTGTTATTTTTCAAATAGGGTAAATGGAGCACTTTAGTTCTGCACACTCCAAGAACTATGATTCAGCTGGTTCATCAAATTCATCTAACCTTGAGTCATGTACACATGCATGATCTTAGGAAACCTTGAGGTTATATTTTGGCCATATGCCACTTTTTCTAATGGTAGTATAAACATGCAAGACTGGAGGACAGGGTGTGATGGACTGTACACAGTGTTGTTGTGCTGTTAGCTGTGTGTTGTTGCTTTTGAGAGCAGGAGAGATTGTAAATAAAGTCTGACCCCATTCCTACTGTGCCTGTCATTTTTCTTTGGCCTGCCCAAATTGGAAAACCAGCACTGGCCTCTCACATTCATGACTGGGTCTACTGAGAATGTAGCCTCCTATTTATGCTTCCTGCCTAGCTGGGACAGGCACCTGACAGGCATACACCTAACATGTTTGAGCAATAACACATTGAAAACCCTATCAACTTCTTTCTTTGCTGGTAGGGGTATAGATGAAGAAGGACTAGAAATAAAAATTCAAAGTATATTTTTAACAAATTTTAATTTTATAATTCATGGATAGTATTTCAAAAGAATGATTACTATGGAAGCTACAATTATGAAATATCTGCTGCTGAGTGTGTGACAAGAATTGTGAAAGAGACTGGAAATGTCACTATTAATCGTGAGGCCTTGAGTTCAATTTCCAGTACTACCTCCTTTCTTACCTCACCTCACCCCCACCAAAATAAAAAACTGTTAGGGTCTGAGATTTTAGCCTACTTTGAAGCTAACAAATTTTGGAACTATAGCTGTACAGATCTTAGACTCAAAGACAAAGAACAGTTTTTATTACAACAACAGTAGACAAAATGTCAACTTTTTTTTTTGCATTTGTTTCCTAACTACATTCCCATACAGCAATGTGAAAAGGGCCAAATGACCCTGCATACAGCAATATGAAAAGGGCCAAATGACCCTGCATACAGCAATGTGAAAAGGGCCAAATGACCCTGCATACAGCAATGTGAAAAGGGCCAAATGACCCTGCATACAGCAATGTGAAAAGGGCCAAATGACCCTGCATACAGCAATGTGAAAAGGGCCAAATGACCCTGCATACAGCAATGTGAAAAGGGCCAAATGACCCTGCATACAGCAATGTGAAAAGGGCCAAATGACCCTGCATACAGCAATGTGAAAAGGGCCTAATGACCCTGCACACTGTGGGCTGTTTCAAGGACAGAAGCCTGAGCTTAAGGAGCTCAAATCTCATAACAGGTGGTAAGCCTGCTTCCACTTCGCTCCACAGACATAGCATCTCTGTGTTCCAGGGGACATCATGGCAATAATTTGAAAGACACATGGACCTACTAACATTAGGTCTGAGGTGATATTTTTCTTAATACTTTATTTACATGTAAATTAAATACTTTATTTAAATGTAAATTAATTATGTAAATAAGACATGAGGAAGGAAATTTAAAATGCTAGAGAGAACAAATTAATCTACTTACAAGGCATCAAATGGTGTATGATAATTTCCAAAATTTGTATATTATTGAAAGTAAGTAGGTTAAGAAGATTGATTTATGATGCTTTTCTGTTATGCTGTGCTGCATATTCTGTCTTTCCTTTATAAAAATGCATAAAGAAGAATAGAATCAGGGCATGAAAAAGATGTGAAAAAGACCAGTTTCTTTGTGAAGTTAAAAAAAACAACTTTGTCATTATTTACATCAAACCAAAGTGAACCATTCTGAGAGAACCACCTTCTCCATCTCCAGGGTCCTGCAAATAAACAGATGAAAATAATTAAAATAAAATCATGCTTAAATAGTAAAACACTGACTTACATTTATATCTATACTGTTTGTAACTTGAGTATTTTAAAACAATGAAATGAAATTGTTTAAAATACTTGTATATATTTAAACAGAAGAACTGCATCTTACTCAGAATTCATAGTCATAAAAATTACAAAGAAATAGGTCTGACGCTGGTGGCTCACCCCTGTAATCCTAGCTACTCAGGAGGCCAAGATCTGAGAATTGCGGTTCAAAGCCAGCTAGGGCAGGAAAGTCTGTGAGATTCTAATCTCCAATTAACCACCAGAAAACTGGAAGTGGCACTGTGGCTAAGTGGTAGAGTGCTCACATTGAGCTGAAGAGCTTAGGGACAGTGCCCAGGCCCAGAAGTTCAGGCCCCACAACTGAAAGAAAAAAAAAAACCAAAACAAAAAACAAAACAAAACAAAGAAATAATATCTGAAGCATAAAAAGTCAAAGTCAAAGAAGGAAGGGCAGGATGGTAGTAGAGATTTGGAAATATCTGAAGATACAACAAAAATTGTTATATGAGATCTAAACTATTGATTCTTAAATACTGTACATTCTAAAAAGTTCTACATAGCTTCTATATAAAATGTGTGCCTTTTTTTTTTTTTACTGAATATTTGATAGTAAGGGAATGGATTACAAAAAAAGATCATAAATCTTCCCCCCCCTTGCCCCCCCCCCCCCCCAACCCCTGCCTGTCTTCCTTCCTGTCTGTCTGTCTTTTTTGCCAGTACTGGGGTTAAATTTAGGGCCTTGGCACCTTACCACTTGAACCATGTCTTGAACTCTTGTTTTTATTTTTCAGATAGGATCTTCTGCTTTTTACTCTGGCCAGCCTTGGATTGAAATCCTTTTAATCTAAGTAGGTGAGATTACAGACTCCTGACCCAAGATCACAGTTTTATAGGCCTTTGATAACATTTATGAGAGATTAGTGAGAACTTCATCTATTTCCCATTTGTTCTTCCCATAGTTCTCATCGTTTCCTCCAACCCAACTTCATCAGATACAGAATAAGATTTTATGATAGGATTCTGAAATTAGAGGATGTTTGAAGGTAAGACTAAAGATGAATGAAAATATCTGAACATTTTTTAATGGGAGTTTTTTAAAAAAAATTTGAAGGTAGCTTCTTGGAATGGAAAAGATGAAGGTTAAGACAAGCAGAAAAGGTCAAAATCTATGTACATATGACCAGATAAGATGATGTTAAATGAAATGAACCCCAAGATATGGAAACAAATGGTTTTTTCTTTCTTGCTATTGTTTCTAACGTATTTATAATGTACCATGTGATTTTTTTGTTTCTTTGTATGTTCCTTCCCCATGGTATAACCCTTGTTTTCACTGTATTTGATGTTGGTGGCTGCATCTTGTATATACACTTCTTTAATTTGGGGAGGGGAAGGGAAAACTAAAATGCTTAAATAGTGATACAAGTTGACCCACTGTAACAGTGAGATGTACAAGACATTATGTTGAAAAACTAGCTTTACAATTTAGGCAGAGTGGTGGTGGGGGCAGGAGGGGGAAGGAGTGTAGTTGTGGAGTTGGGAGGGAAGGGATGGTAGGGGAAACACAAAGGTGGAGGCAACAATGCCTGATAGGAAACGTACTCATTACCTTGCTCATGTAACTGTAACCCCTCTGTACAGTATTTTTACAATAAAAAAAAGTATAAAAAAAAGAGTAATAGACAAGAGACAGCAGATAGGATTCGCACTACCATGTCATAACTGGAAATATTTTTCTTAATGTGGAGGTGAAAATAATGTATTTTAAAATGATTTCTGTGGTGTTGGAGCTATTAACAACAATTTAGGGCTAGGGCTGTAGCTCAGTGGTAGAGCACTTACGTAACGTGCATAGCCTCAGGTCCAACCCCTATTACTATGTTATTCCTATATATTTTTTAAAAGATATGTCTCTTTGTTATCATAGAGGTGATGTACAGAAGGATTACAGGTAATGAGTACATTTCTTTTTTTGGCCAGTCCAGGAGTTTGAACTCAGGGCCTAAGCACTGTCCCTGAGCTTCTTTTGCTTAAGGTTGGTACTCAAACACTTGGGCACAGCGCCACTTCCAGCTTTTTCTGTGTATGTGGCACAGAGGATTAGAATCCACGGCTTCATGCATGTTAGGCAAACACTCTACCACTAAGCCACATTCCCAGCCCCATGAATACATTTCTTTTTGAACGACATCACCTTTCCCTTGCTCTCTCCTGTCCCTACCCACAAATTGAAAATTTTTTCCACACAGTGTCTAGTGAGTATCATTGCTGTATTTGTTCACCCTTTGTCCTACCTTTTATGTACCTTCCCAAAGAAAAATAAGCTAATAAAACAACAAAAGGAAAAAACAACACAAAATCTTGTTTCCGTTTCTTGGAGCTCATTTAAAAAATACTTTATATGATTATATGCATATCCTATGTTCAATCTTAATAATTCAAAAGCATTTTATAAAGTCTGCCTTTATAGTATTTCTAGTCATCTCTCTAAGGAAACAGGTATGAGTCTGAAAAGTTAGGGAAACACACATACACGTGTGTGTGTGTGTGTGTGTGTGTGTGTGTGTGTGTGTGAATGTGCCTGTGGATATTGAAATGCACAAAAATTTAAAAAAAAACCTGGAATAACAGGAACTAGAAGAATGAGTAATTTAATACTGCCTGGGGCTTGTATGTGTGTGCTGGCAAGTTTAGTGGTTTTAGGTAGCTTTCAATTGCAAAACAAAACAGAATATTACAAGCACTGTCATTTTAAAAACATACGCTCCGACTCTTGGCTTATAAACCACCAAACCAATGTTTTAGTTTCTACAATCATTAGAATGGCCATTGAGGAACCTGGACTTAGCATTTGGTTTTGTTCACTGTTGGAGAGTCTCGGTAAATTATTTTATTTTCCTTTTATATGGATATATGCTGTTGCTTGAAGGCCAGGTGCATACCCAAGAAGTATCATATGATTGGACCTTTTCTTCACTCTTCCCTTTGCTTTTCTAACTCCCTCCTATTCTTCCTCCCTCTCTGCCTGCCTGGCCTTTCTCTTTCTCTTTGTGTATTCCAGTGATCCTAGAATCTACTTAAAAAAAAAAAAAGAAATTTCCCCTTTGATGGATTTCTTTTAAATCTATCCTTTTTTAAAAAATTTACTTTAGGGTATTTTGAAGGTTTCCATGGTAGCTTGCTCCATGTTAAACTTGACTTGAACCCTATTTGCTCAAGAGGGATATTTTGAAGATTAATAAAGCATTTTATGTTTGGTTATTTAATCATTATTAAAAGGCATAACCATTAAGTAAAAATTGGAAAAACAGAAAAGCATGAAAATTTCTCTTAGCTCCATATAAAACTATAGTTAGTGCATATATTTCCAGTATCTTTTTCTCTATATTTTAATTAATAAAAATAGAAACCTAGCTATAAATATTTTATTTATAATTCTCTAGTTTCTGTTCCCAATTTTTGGGCTTCTCTGAAAACTTTCTGATACTTCTATGAAGTCTTTGATTTTAATGTTTGAATTTTATTCCATGAAATACTATATTTACTTAACCATTCTCTTTTTTTGGTTTCTAATTCTTTTTCAAAATAACCCTATGCTGGATATTCTTACATAAATTATTTTTGTATTTAGGATTATTTCCTTCCCTGATAAAAGTATCAAAATAGAATTATTGGACCAAGGCTTATGAAACTTTAGCCCTTTATAAACACTGAAGAATCAATAGTTTGGCTTTACTTTTCTAATAGTTTGGAAGGAAGCAACTCTGTTTGGTAATAGGAAGTTGTGGTTCCAAGAGAGGCTGACCTTTATTTTATTATGTGCTGAAATTGCGTTCACCCTTGACTAAAGCTGCATGTTAATTCCTGTAGTAATCTACAGCAACAAAAAGCTTTTCCCCATGTGATTTCTACATATGGTTAAGTTCTTTTTTTGAGCCACACCTTACTGCTGTTACCTAATGTTGGGTGATACCAGGTCACTTTCTTCTAAATGTACACAGACTTTCCCAAGGAAATTCAAGGAACAAGTTAAGGTTCGCTTTAGATGTGAACTGGATTCTGACATGTTGCTCACTGATTACAGATTTTTTTCTTTAATATAAGTGATTATGTAAATATTTGTATTGTGTTTCCTCTGTTACTAATGATCCCTTATAATGCTTTTGATTTAACACTAATTAAATTCTAGAAGGTATATATTTTCTGTAATGAAATGAGGTACTTTATGTAAGTACCTGGTTTATGTAGTATTTATTCTTTTGAACTTTTTGTATTTCACTTAATGTACCATCTTTAAGTATGTTTACATTACGGCAGGTATCAACATTTCATTTCTTTTTAGGCTGAGTAATATTTTATTTTATACATATATACAAGATTCAGACCATATGTTTCATTTTCTGATGGACATTTGGGTTGTTTCTATCTTTTGCCTATTGTATATAATACTGCTATGAATATGCTATGAATATTATATGAATATATAAACACATCTGTTCTTTGAATCCTTTTTTTTTTTTTTTTTTTTTTCCTGTCAGTCATGAGGCCAGAACTCAGGGCTTGGGCACTGTCCCTGAGCTCTTTTTCCTGAAGATTGGTGCTCCAGTCACAGCTCCACTTTTAATTTTCTGGGGGTTAATTGGGGATAAGAATCTCATGGACTTGCCTGCCTGGGCTTGCTCTGGACTGGGAACCAGCTACTCAGATCTCAGCCTCCTGAGTAACTAGGATTACAGAGTCCAGCTTGTTCTTTCAACTCTTTTGGGAATGTACCAGGTGTAGAACTGCTGTGTTGTAAGGTAATTTTCTGTTTACCTTTTTGAGGAACTGCCACATTTTTTCCAAAGAAATTTTACAATCCAACAGTAAGGCATAATCTTCACTTATTGCCAGTACTTTCTTTATTTTGACAATAGCTATGCTAATATATATGAAGTAA